GCAGGAGCCACTACGCCTCGCTCAACCAGGTACCTTTTTAACCTGCTTTTCCTCCTTTGTTTCTGACAGTTCTTTCTTAGACTCTTGTTCATTTCCTCAACCATTGTATGTTGAAGTACTTCAGGAATTAGTTTTCAAACTTCTCTTTCCTATCCATTCTCATTCCCTAAATGATGTAATCTAATCTCATGGCTTTAAAGTAACATGTATTTATTAATTCAAGTATTCTCTTCTCTGCCTTCCATGGCTCCAAAGAAACCTTTCTGTTACACAAGAGAAACAAATATTCTCTGAAAGGTGACTTCATGATTCCAATTTTTTTTAATGTAATGACAGTTTTGTTTCAATAGTCTGACGCTTCTAGTAAACTATAATTCAGGTGCTCTTTAAAAGAAGAAAAAAAATTGGGCCGAGGATTTAACTCAGTGGTTTCGCCGCCTGCTGCGCAAGCGCAAGAACACGAGTTCGATTCCCAATACCAAAAAAAAAAAAAAGAAGAAGAAAAAAATTAAGACCTATTCCTTCAAAATGACTTTTGCTGAATTTCCCCGTGAGGCCCCACGTGTGCGCCTTTACCACGCGGCTGGGGACGGCGGCCCGTGTCGGCGGTGGCCTCCCGCCACGTGGCCGCGCTCCGCGTTTCCAGAACGGATTCGTCCTTAGGAACCAACCTGACAGAGTCAGCAATCCTGGCAGAAGGCAGGGAAAACAGGACTAGGAATAGCGCGGGATACTCGGGGCGGAGTTCGCTGAACAGAGTGCGCCCAGTGAAGCAGACGCAACCAGCAGCAAAGCGATCTCAGTTCTTTTTGAGCAAAAACAAAAGCACCAGCGACCTCTCGTTCCCACTTTAGAGATCTTGAAAACGTCCACTGCACCGCTGTTTAAAACTGCTGAGTTTATATCTAGTGAGTCGGGAAGGCAGGATTTCGAAAAATTCAGTATTTCAACTTAAATTAGAAAAAAAATAGAGGCTGTTAATCGTTAAGCACGAATTTCAAAATATTAACACAATAAAGAAAAGGAAGGTCCTAAGGACCTGCCGAGACAGTGGCGTCAGCTGGTGAACGGAAGCAGGAAGGATCCGAGTCCACAACGTTTCCAAACTCCGCGCGAACCACCCCCTGCTACGTCAACCCCACAACGCATGCGCAGGCCCCGCCTCGGCATCCGGGCGGCTGCGCATCTGCCTGCCCTTAGCTGGAGGGGAGCGAGGGGCGTGGCGAGATCGCGTGGCCCGGATTGCGGCATTTGTGGCCCTATCCGAGGCTTCCGAGAGCGCCCTTGGAGAGCGAGGCGAGTTGCCCCGTCTTTCCGGAATCTTCACCTCCTTTTTTATTACTGCGTTTTCGACTCTGCTCTTGAGTCTAACAATCTGGCTTGAAGTTTTTGGCTCATGTCCCGTGAATAAATTTTGGCGCACACTATAAAGCGCTTTCAGTGGCATTTCTCTAATTTAAAATGCTATTGTTCTGTACAGTACGCTCAACTCCGGTTGCTATTGCTTGAGATTCCAGAATCGCTGGCGGGCGTCATGTTGTAAAAATAGCACCCCAGAAAAAGTTTTCTATGTATCTCAGGGGTTGAGAATTGGGAAAGTCACGGTATAAACTTAGAGGTAAGTGTCCCCAAATATTATGACAAATAACTGACCCTAAAACCTCGCACCCCCAGAGAGCACATTGTCAGTGTAAGCACTTGACACAGCGCGATCCGTTGTTCCAACCTCCTGTCCAGCTTGAAATCCAGCAGCGAGGCTGAGTAGCACGAGGCTGGTCCCGGAGAACAGCCCGAGGGAACCCGGGCTTAGATCATCTCGTCTTCAGGCTGGAGGGCAAAACTGAGAAGGGCCTGGGAGGAGCAAAGTGACTGCTCTAGAGCCCGAATGCTTCCCGCACTGACTGCTTACTGCCCTGTAACCGCGTGGTTCCCATCGCACATCGCGGTGGAAGTGGCTTGGGAAAATACCAAATTTGATTTAAAAATTCCTCACCAGTAATCCTATTCAGGAAGATTTTACTGATCACCTAAAAATAAAATCTCAACGCTGCAGAAATGGGTTTAACTCAGAACAGAGTAGTGCAGCCACACCTGTAATCCCACTTATTCTGGAGGCAGAGGACAGGAAGGTGGAGAGTTTGAGGCTACTCTGGCTAACTGCTAGAGCTTCTCTCAAAATGTAAAATTTTTTTTAAATTACCTTTTTAAGCGGGGGCTAGGGATGTACCTCAGCGAGAGAGAGTTTGCCTAGCAGGTGTGAGACCCTGGATTCAATCCCCAGTAGCACCATCAATCAATCAAACTTTAAAGTTTAGTTGCTTCAACTGCAGTTCCATTACTCTTACAAATGCTTCCATAGACCCCGTAGTTCTGTCACAGCTCTGCATAAATAACTTCAACTGCCACTCGCACTGTGCCGAGTCAGGCACTCTAGGACAAAACTCTCCAGGTGGAAAAGCCATAGGCCTTGGTAAGCTACTCTGGCTGTCGGGCAGTCACAACACTGAGGGCAGAGAGTGTGGTCTTTGCCTGCAAGATGGTGAAGTCTAAGCATTTCATATGAGAATCAGAGAAAATGGGCCAAGTGTATACAGTGTCAGTTACTTCTTGAAGCCAGAACAGGTTTTAACCACTGTCCTGTTTGCTGGCCTGGGTCGTTATTAACAATTAGTGTGGGGGCCGAGGATTTAGCTCAGTGGCACCACACCTGCTTCGAAAGTGCAGGGTCCCGAGTTCGATCCCCCATACCAAAAAAAAAACAATTAGTGTGGGCCAGGCCTGGTGGTGCGAACCTGTAATCCCAGCAGGAGGATCACTTTGAGCTCATGGCCAGCCTGGGCTCCAGAGTGAGTTCAAGGCCAGGCAGAACTGCATGGCGAGAGTCTCAAAAATAAATAAATAAATAATGCCTTAACAAAACTTTAAACAATTTGTAAATATTCATGAAAATTAAAAGTCCTATTTATTTCTGATTCTTTAATCAGGATTATTATTATGGGATACCCTGACTTCAGGGTCTTACTACCCAAACAAGTGACTGCACTTCTATGAAATGAAAATATTTTTATGAACCCAGGGCCTTTGCACTCAGCTACGTCCCTAGCCTTTTTTTCTCCAGACTGTCACCAAGTCACTAAGTTGCCAGGGTTGAACTTGCTATCCTCTAGCCTCAGCCTCCCTGGTTGCTGGGATTACAGGCATGTGCCACCACAGCAGACTATAGTCTTTTTAAAGATTCTCCTGGGATTAATTTATTCTGTAATTTCCATTTTGTGGTGTAACCTGTTCTCCTTGAAGTTCAACAGACTGTCGAATAGGGCTGTTCAATAAAGTAGGAAGCCAATAGCTGCCTGGGGCCAAGTACTCCTGCCAGCTGTCAAATCCGAGGGCTGTTGGAACAGGATAAAGGCAAGCAGTAGTAGAATGCTATTTTAAGCAACAGCTGGGGAATATCACCCAGTACTTGAAAGAACAGTAATTTCCAGCAACTCCAAGAATGTCTGTCCATTAAAAAAAAAAAAAGAATGTCTGTCCCAAAGCCTCTCTTTAAAATACAGAAAAAAAATTAATTAAAAAATACAGACCAAGGACAAGTGTATCATATAGTTTCTCTTACATGAAAAACCCAAAGTCTAAATGAGTTAAACAGCAAAATAAGATAGATAAATAGTAATGTGAAATAAGAAAAGGTCTAAAGGAGTAGGGAAAGTGGGAGGGGTAGGGGAAAGAAGGGAAAAGAAAAAATATGAGAAAAGGAAAAAATGAAAACAAAGTCTTTGTAAACAGGGAAGGGTGGAGGGGGTGAAGGGAGGGCAGGGGAATGGGGGAAAAATAAGAACCAAGATACATCATGTACAGGTACAAATCCCCAATGATGAATGTCATCATATTGTATACCTAATATGTACCAATAAACTTAATGAAAAAACAAAAAGGTAATAGGAAACAGAGAGGCAGCTTTTGCAAAAGGGAAGAGGACCAAGAGATTGCGGCAGGAGGGGAGGAACGGGGGGGGGGGGGAAGCGGTATAAGGGTTAAAGATGTGTTACATACATGTACCATCTCTCCACAATGAATTTAATTATATACTGTAAGCATGTACTAATAAAAATTTTAAAGTAAAATGCAAATCCCTGCCCTCCCAAAACACAGAACAAGGAATAAACTACTTAAGTGTTCTGAATCACAATCTCTCACTGAATTCCCCTAACCAAGAGGGAAAAGGCTTTTTTTTTAAAGACAAAACAAACAAAAATCATATTTCAGTAAACAGTATCTATAGTTGAAAATACTTCAGTATTTTCCATCTCTCAGGAAGCAGAGCACTATGTATTTTCAATATTTAACTATAAAGCAATCATAAAAACTTAGCAGTGGGCCAGAGATGTAGCTCAGTAGCACCGTGCCTGCCTCACAAGCGCAAGGTCTTGAGTTTGGTCTCCACCAATACAAAAAAAAAAAAAAAAAGCATAGTATTTGTGCCCTTATTTTACAATATGTAATCCAGAGTGTTTTTAGGACAGGGTCTCACTGTGTAATTCAGGCTGGCCTTGAACTCACTATGTAGCCCAGGCTGGCCTAGAACTCCATCCTCCTGCCTCGGAATCCCAAGTGCTGGGATTACAGGCATGGGCCTCCATGCCCAAACAACCGAGTTTTTTTCGTTTGTTTTGTTTTTTGAGACAGAGTCTCACTATGTAGTTGAGGCTGGAATTGAAGTATGTAACCCAGGCAGACCTTGTGACAATCCCCCTACCTCAGCCTCCCGAGTGCTGGGATTACAGGCATGCACCACCATGCCTGGCTCAAAATAACATTTTAAAAATCATTTATCAGAGAAAATAAAAAAAGAGGACCAAAAAAAACCACAAAAAACAAAAAACACTACTGTTTCAAGATAAACAAGAATTATGTATATTTGTATATTATCAAAAGATTCTGAAGGTAAACATTATATACTATAAATTACCAAAAAAGTGAATGTCATACACTGAAACTAATCATTATAACAAATCTTCAATTTATTTGAAGCAATTCAGTTTCAAAAACTTTAAGTTACAGCAGTCACAGAAAAAACTGGGAATAATCAGAAACAATAAAAGAATGATCAGGAGTACTGCATTTTTAAAATTTGTTTTTAACACTGTCATGGCTTTATTCAAAACACAGTTGCACAAAAGTATTAACTTCAAAGTTTTAAAGAGAGGTTCTTGAGGAATTTAACACATTATATACATACTGCCATACAAAGAGCATTAAAATAGGACCCAAAACTTCTACAAAATATAAAACCCACCCTTACTTATTTGCATGAAAATACCACCCACAAAGCTACATAAGTCTTAAAAGTTTTTGTGGGGTTTTTTTTGGTACCAGGGATTGAACTTGGGACCATACGCTTGTGAGGCTGGTGCCAGAACCACTGAGCTAAATCCCTGGCCCATAAGTCTTAAAATTTATCTGGAGGCTCTACATGCCGTTTTCAAACCAAAGAACTCTAATTATGATTGCACAATAAAATGATTGATTAAGTCAATATATAGATTTAATTTTAAAAATACGTATCTTCTAAGATGGCATAGTATCCAGTGAGAAACCTTAGGGACTAAACAGGGCATTCCAATTGTTAAATTAGGGGAAAAATGTTAGGAGATTCTGGCCCCTGATAAATTTATCCCCAGTGTTTTCAGCCAGTTGTGTAACTTTTTGTTTCTCCACAAATAACTTCATAATTTTTACTTTAAAAACGCCAAGTTGGCCGGGGATTTAGCTCAGTGGTTTCGCCACCTGGTGTGCAACCGCAAGGACCCGAGTTCAATCCCCGGTACAAAAAAAAAAAAATGCCAAGTCCTCCATTTTAAACTAAAAAAGGAGCAGCAATACCATACTGGTTTGAATGTGTCCCAGTAGAGAAGCATAACTTCAATTTGCTGACACTTTTTTAAAACTTACAAATATTCAAAACAAAGAGAAAAAATTTCAGACGGCCAATGCCTTGGACATGGTGGCTCCTTGACAAAAAGGGAGAGGGACTTGTCCCGTCAGGGTCTGTTTAGTAGCCATATAAACACACACTCATACTTATCTCAAATATTGTTCTATTTGTAATGAACATCAGCTTGAAAATAACCCTTAATATTTAGTTTCAAAAACTTTTTCAACTACCTACCATACTCCAAAAATGTTATATCTGGTAAAGCGTTAAAACTACAGGAAGAATAATTAAAGTTCTACTGAGAAAAACTATAAATACTTCACAGGGTTAGTATCCAAATCCTTTGGGAAGCCAATTTAAATTTAATTATCAATAGGCAATGGTTCAGATTTTTTTTTTTTGGTACCGGGAATGGAACTCAGGTCCTTGTGCTTGTGCAGCAGGTGACAAAACCACTGAGCTAAATCCCTGGCCCTAGATTTTTGAGAAACATTAATACTACTTCCAAAGGCCTCGCTTGTTTCTCCTTTCTTCATCCTAATAATGGTCTCCCATGTTGTCAACCCAGAAACATTTACAGTAAGTAGAATCTGTTGAATAAAACTATCAACAATATTCAGATCTCAAAAAATACTCAATTTCTTCCTCACTTATTTAAAACTGGACAGGTCTGAAAAGGTGACTGAGGTATGAGACTAAAGGTTTTCTGGGAATCCACAAGTTGCCCAACCTTCTGCTGGGACAGAAAGATGAGTGAAACAAGAAGGGAAGGAGACCACAGAAGTTGCTAAGAGGAGAAAGAACATGAACCTAAAACAAAACAAACAACCGCTGGCATCTCAGGAAAGGGCTCACTGCATGCCTCAGACTTAGTATAAGCAATTTTTCCTTAAAAAGTAACATCTTATCAGTCACCACAAAATCCATGAACTACATTAATTTCTGAATAGCACCCCCCAAAATATCCACGAAATACACTGCTGAATAGAACCTGTATTATCCTGCATCTGCTTTCCAGCTTAACTCGTGTAACAAGCATCCAAATACCCTTAGCCGGTAAGTCACTGCCTTCAAACCAAAGGTCTCTGCATCACTTCTAAAAAAAATAATGAACTTATCATTCAAGAGACTTTTGTCATTTCATATTATAGCTGACTGTAATTTCAGTTAATTTATAAATAACTTTAAAACCTTATGAATGAAATGCACCAAACTACACCTGTGTAAAAGTGATGTTTAATTATGGGCTAAAAATGACTAATACAGTGTGCTTGAATTAGAAAAATTAAGATTCTAAATAAATTGCTAGAGAATTTCACGATGGTGGGGAGCAATGAAAATTTTTCTCTACATACAATCTGATCTTTAACAGACTAGTAAATCTTAATTGGAATGATAAGGCAAAAATAGTAAAACCACAATTTTCCTATAAAAAGTTGCACATTATCTTCTGCAGGGAACAGCTATCATACAGGAAGGAACAAAGATGTGACCACTCGATTGCACACCCAGGAACGCTAGGGAATGCGCCCTTAGAGTGACCTAGTCCTCTTCCTCCTCTCCCTCGTCATCAGCATCTCGTTTCCTCTTCTCCCCCCTAAGACCTTCTTCTTCTGAAAGAGGGACAGGAAAAGTGTAAAACACTTAATCTTAACAAAACAAATGAGTATTTGTTAATTTACAAAGTTATGAATCTTAGTAAAAAGTTAATGGCAAAAGAAAATTATAGACTATTTCCACTCTGAAATGACTCTAACAGTCATGGAAATCCATAAACCTTGCCGGCCCGCTACGCACCCTTGTGGCCAAACCATGAAGTACAGACCAAGAAGCTTGCTGCCCATGGGATTTAGTACATTTCTTTTTGTTTTGTTTTGTTTTTGAGACAGGGTCTAACAATGTAGTACACACTGGCCTCAGACTCCAACTCGAGGCAATTCTCCTGCCTCAGCCTTTGAGTGCCAGGATTACAGGCATGCACCACCACACTCGAAAGAATTGAGGAAATTTTAAAATTATTTTGAAAATGAAGAATACCAAAGAGCGAATCTAAAAAGGCAATATACAGAGTTTAAGTGTGCTTCTCCTATAGAATATTCACCCTCTACAAAATGAGAAAGACTGAAAAACCAGTAAAATGACCTCAAGATTCCAGGATCTCTTCATTCCTGTTTTGGTTTGTTTGGCTGGTTTTTTGGCACCAGGGATCAAACTTGCAGGGGGCAGGTGCGCCTGAGGTAGTGAGATCAACTTTGCACCAGCCTGGGCTACATAGTGAGACTCTGTCTCAAAAGCCAAAAAAAAAAAAAAAAGGCCAGGCATGGTGATTCACATCTATAATCCCAGCACTCAAGGAGAGGACGAGGCAGGAGGATCTCAGTGAATTCAAGGCCACCCTGGACCACAGAGCACCACCGTCTCAAAAAAAAAGCCCAGAAAAAATAAAATAAAATACATGTTATAAGCTGTTTATTTTCTAATGGAATTAATGAATGCCCCGAAAATTACTCTTAATAAAAATGTTATAACTTTCTCCAGGCGTGGTGGCACATGCCTGTAATCTCAGCACTGAGGAGGCTGAGGCAGGAGGGTTGTTCTGAGTTTGAGGCCAGCCTGGGCTACATGGTGAGTTCAAAGCCAGCCTAAACCAGAGATCCTGTCTCAAAAAAATAGGGCCGGAGGGCTGGGGATTTAGCTCAGTGGTTCTGACGCCTGCCTTGCCAGCACAAGGTCCTGAGTTCAATCCCTGGTACACTCCCAAAAAAAAATTAATTAATTTTTTAAAAATTATACCTTTTGGGCCAGGGATTTAGCTCAGTGATTCTGCTGCCTGCTGCACAAGCGCAAGGACCCGAGTTTGATCCCCGGTACCAAAAAAAAAAAAAAAAAAAGGGCCAGGGATTTAGCTCAGTGATTCTGCTGCCTGCTGCACAAGCGCAAGGACCCGAGTTTGATCCCCGGTACCAAAAAAAAAAAAAAAAAATTATACCTTTCAAGGCCCTCTATGATTAAAAAAACAAAATCGGGGGCCGGGGATTTAGCTCAGTGGTTTCGCCACCTGCTGTGCAAGCGCAAGGACCAGAGTTTGATCCCGAGTACAAAAAAAAAAAATCAAAAGGATCAGTAATAATTTGCATTATACATTCAATCCTTAGTAGTCCATGAAAATGTCGACACTTAAAAAAAAAAATGTGTATGCTTAATTTTAAAATTTATGGTTAGTAACTCACCCTCTTCCTCCTCCTCTTCTCCTTCTTCAACATAGTCATCATCATCCTCTTCATCCTTGAAATTCAAATATTCAGTTTAAGACTAAACTGTGACGTAAGATTTCCCACTATTTAGTACATCCCAACAGGAGCAAAGAAACTAGTTTTTCTATGTTCTGACAATCATAACTCTTGCCTACCTGAATACAGGCCTTTTTAGGAATGATCTGAATCCTGGCCCCAGTGTAGTTATATGTGTTGAATAAGTCAATTATCTACAACCAAGTTTTCCAATCAATTAAAGCAGAGTACAGATTGAACATTTTTACTCTCAAATCCCACATCCAAAATCTGAACTTTCTGAACATCAACACACCACCACAAACAGAAAATTCCACACTCAACTTCACTTTATGGGCTGCAGTCAAAATGTGAGCACACTAATAATATTGTATAAAAATTCCTTCAGGCTACATGTATGAAACATGAATAAATTTCCTGTTTAGTCTTGAGTCCCATCCCATCTCATTACATTTATGTAAATGCTCCAAATTTTGAAAATATGAGAAATTGGAAATAATCCTGGGTCCCAAGTACTTCAGATAGGAGACATTCAACCCATATTCGTCTACAACGATCTCTCAAGTAGTTTCTTCTACATCTAAAAATTTATACATCAAAATAGCATATGTCAACAAAAATCACAGTAAGATAAACTACAACTCTGGTGAAATGAGCAATTCTAACATTTTCTTATTTACTCTGGCCAACTGTGACACAAATCACCGTGGCCCACTGCATCTCTTCCACCATTTCATCACTATCACCCTCTTGGAGTAATTACTGTGCAGAAACACTACCAATTAGTATAGGTTGACTCTCTTAGACCCTATCAAGATATGTAGGGTACCAGGCATGGTGGCGCATGCCTGTGATCCCAGCACTCGGGAGGCAGAGGCAGGAGGATTGCCTCGAGTTCAAGGCCAGCCTGGGCTACATAGTGAGTTTAGGGCCAGCCTGCACTACCAAAGTGAGACCCTGTCTCAAAAAATACATACATACATACATACATACATACATAAATAAATAAATAAATCTGTAGGGTGGGGGTTTTTTTTTTGAGTTGTCTCTTCCTAGTTTTTATGTCTTTCTTTTACAGTCAGTTACAATTCCAAATTTATTCTACCAAGAAAGCAGAAATCAAAAAAAATAAAAATAATAATAATAAAAAAAGAAAGCAGAAATCTGGCCGGGGATTTAGCTCAGTGGTTCCGCCGCCTGCTTTGAAAGCACAAGGTCCCGAGTTCGATCCCCAATAACCCCCCAAAAAAATAAATAAATAAAAGAAAGCAGAAATCAACAAGTCATCAAAGAAGTGAATACAAAGAGCACACTGGCTCAATGTGAACAGTCTCCTCCCAGGGACAGGACCGCTGTCACTTAGGGCTAGGCTGCTCGCAGCCTTCCACGCTGCCTGCCTTGTTGTTGGCCATGTTACAAACGGCTGAGTTCCACATGGATGAGGTGCTACTTACAGGATATGCTTGAAAAACTAAACCAGTCTAGGGTCTCCCCTCCAATACCACAGAAGTTTACTGTTCCTCAAGAGCACTTAAACCTGCTGGGTGCAGTGATGCTTGCCTATAAACCCAGCTACTTGGAGGCTGAGGCAGGAAGACCGCAAGTTCAAGGCCAGCCTGGGCAACTTGGCAAGACCATACCTAGCCTCCTTTTTTGTGGGACTGAGTACTGAACCCAAGGCCTTTGTATTAGGCTACATCCTCAGCACTTTTTAATTTTTTTATTTTGAGACACGGTCTCACCAAGCTGCCAAATTGCCCAGGCTGGACTCGAACTTCTGATTCTTCTACCTCAGCCTACCAGAGTGCTAGGATTACAGGTGTGCCCCAGTAATCAGCGCAGCGCACCATGCTCACAGACCCTCTCCAAAAACTTTTTAACAAAGGCTGAGGGTGTTTGAGGGCATAGCTCAGTGGAAAAGGGTCCCTGGGTCCTGGTTCAATCCCTAGTAGCAGCAAAAAACCAAAAAACAAAAATAATCTCTAAACGCCAAGAACCACCGTTCAAGAACACTTGGACAATTCTCCCTTTTCACAATATCTATACTTCATTTGTTTCTAGAAATATTAAACAGAACCCAATTTCCCAGCACTTAGCTAGAAACCCTGAGAAACTAAAATGTATGATTCTTTTATCAGAAGTCATTCTTATCAGTCAATTGAAACATTATTAAAGCATATCCATACCAGGGTACCAGTAAGCTACATGAACAGAAGAAATAAACAATATAGCAAATAGCACAAAAAAGACAATACAAACCAGAAAAATCTGTTGCTTTCAACTGAAGAAAAAGAAACAAAGGAAGAGGAGTGAAGGGGTGAGGAAAGAGGAAAGAAAGGGGGAAGAGGTGTGTATCTGCCCGCATGAACATGTGCTAGTGAGGACTGAAACAAGGGCCATCTGTATGCTAGATGGGTGTTGTACCACTGAGCAAAATCCCCAGGCCTTTTTTTAAAATTTATTTATTTTGGTACCAGGGATTGAACTCAGGACCTTGCACTTACGAGGCAGGCGACAGCACCACCGAGCTAAATCCCTGGCCCAGGCCTTTTTATTTTTTAGAAAGAAACTCACTGGGCCAGGGATTTAGCCTGGTGGTGCTGTCGCCTGCCTCACAAGCACAAGGACCCGAGTTCGATGCCTGGTACCCGCCCCCCCCAAAAAAAAAAGAAAGAAAGAAAGAAACTCATTGCTGTCCAGGCTAGTCTCATGCTTAGGATCTTCCTGCTTCAGCCTCCTGAGTAGCTGGCATTACAGGCATGTACCACCATACCACACTCAGGAAGAGATATTTCGATGTTATTTTTTTTGGTACCAGGGATCAAAGTCAGGACCTTGCACTTGTGAGGTAGACAGTAGAAACACTGAGCTAAATCCCCAGCCCCAGGAAGAGATATTTAGAAAAGCCCAAGTCTAAAAAACTGATTATTTCTTTTAATTTTGTTTTAAACAAAATATGATTTGATTGGTTCATGATTTATTTAAAATCATCTTTTAGATAATATCCCTCAATAAAAACTCAGCTTTTGCCAGAAATTTGCTCACTAGAGACCGAATGTTCCCTCATTTGGTATGAGTAGTACAAAGGGCATCATAATTCCCAATTTTCCTAAAACCCTCAACTCCATTTTTAATGACTTATATTGCACAGACATGAAGTTATTTTTTCCTTGCAGTAATGGGGATTGAGCCCATGCCAGAAGCTCTCTCACCGGGCTACATCCCAGCCTTTTTTCACTTTGAGACAGGGTCTCACTAAATTACCCAAGCTGCCTTGAGCTTGTGATGGATCCTCCTGCTTCAGCCTCCCAAGTAGCTGGGATTATAAGCATGAGCCATCATGTCCAGCCACAGTCCTCTATACATCTTTCACTTTGAAAAGAAGTTGAAATAGGAATAAAAAGACCCCGGAAAACAGCTAATCAAAAATGCTATTTCCTTCTAATTTCTTTTTAAATCTCCGTAGTCTCTGAAGCTTCCCCTAGCACTTAGCTTCTAAAAACAGGACTTCATTTGAAACATCCAAATTATCTCATGAATGAAAACTCTTTCTGGCCCTGCTGTCCCTATACTGACTGCATGTTGTCTGTATTACCAGAGATTTTTCCTCCGCACTTGGTAATGTCCTTCTTGGTTAGTATTTCCCAGTACTCAATAGAATGATAAATCTAAACATTTGCAGTTAAAAGTAATTTTTAAATTACTTAAGGAGGAATTATTGGCAGAGAAAATGAAAGGCGAAAAATAAAATAATACAAGACACGTATTTTGCCAAATGAATAAAATCTTGGGGGAGAAACAAGTTGTACACGGATATAAACTGAACAGGCTCTCTGTACAGTTAAAATACTTAAAGTTCTGTTCTTCACTGTTATACAGTTCCTAAGTCACTAAGGCCCTAAACAAGTATAAGTCCTTGTTCTTCCACATTATCTTATATTAAAATAGTATGGGGAAAAGTATTATTGATCAGATGATATCTACCTAACCAGGGTAAAAGCAATTAGGAAAATAAATAATACTAACAATACCTAGCTTAACTGAGGTTTGGGAATTTTTTGTTTGCTTTTTCACAGTGCTAGGGATTGAACCCAGGGACTCCTACCTACTAAACAGACTCTACCACTGAGCTACAACACATCCCTAAGAGATGTTTTTAATAATAGTTATTTTAAGGCCAGGTGTTGTGGCACACGCCTGTAACCCCAGCACTTGAGAGGCTAAGGCAGGAGGATCGCCATGAGTTTGAGGCCAGACTGAGCTAATTAATGAGTTCAAGGGCAGCCAGAACTCCCTAGTGAGATCCTGTCTCAAAAAAAAAGTTATTTTAAATTATGAATTATGAGGCCAGGAGTGGTGGCGCATGCCTATAATCCCAGCACTAGGGAGGCTGACACAGGATTGCCATGAGTTCAAGGCCAGCTTGTGCTACATAGTGAATGCAAGGCCAGCCTGAATTATATAGTGAGACCCTGTTTCAAAATAAATTAAAAAGAATTACGAAAATAAATCTCAATTTAAAGTAACTTCTCTCAACTCATAGGACCAAAGAGCACCTACCCTTGGTGCAGTCAATGTACGAGGCTTGGATACAAAGATGAACACACCCACCCCCAGAACTCACCGCCTCACAGAAAGTGGCCATGTTGTTAAGTTTTTACAACAGTGTCTACCAGCAATAGAAGTCTGGGTTTAAAGGGAACAGGGGAAGGAGTGACTGCCCAAGAAAAACGACAGAAAGTTTCAATAATGAACTCCAGAGCTGAGGTGAAGGATAAGAGTTCACAAGACATGATTTGGGGGGTATCTGCACAAATATATACAAATGTAAAATCTGATGGAGTTGTATATAAATTAATTCACTTTACAAGCTTCACTATATATATGTTCACCTCAGGACAAACAAAAACAAAGTTCAAGAAGCATAAGTAGAGAGTCATTTCAGACGGGGCGAACAGCATAAACACAGACACAAAGTCAAGTAATACTCCAGCATGACAATTTAATTTGGTCTGAAGGGAGATACAGCTATAGAAGGAAGCGGGGGCTAAAAAGAAAAAATGAAGAGCACTGTCTACTCAGATGGAACTGGACTGCTAAAGGCATTTGCATTAGACTACCAGGCAGACACGGAGGGTGTTCCTAAGTGGGGATTCTGTGTGCAGAGACCATTTAGAAAGCTACAACAGGAGTAGAAAGCAAGAGATAACTGGAAGGAAGAAATTAGTTTTCTTGAGTGCCTTCAATGTGCCAGGGACTAGATATTTTAAATATATTATCATGCTAAATCCTTACAACAGGAGGCAGGGGTGATGGCACACACCTGTAATCCCAGCTCCAGGGCAGCAAGGCAAGAGGATAGCTAAGTCTGAGGCCAGCATGGGGTTCACAGTGAGATCAAGGCCAGCCTGTACTACAAAGCAAGACTCTATCTCAAAAAAAAAAATCCTTAAAACAATCCTATGAAGTTGATATAATCGTTCCTTTATAAATGCAGAAACGGATGCTTGGAAACCTTTGTAAAAGATTTCCACCACACCATGCCACTGAGAATAGAGTGGATTGGAAACATAATGGAGAAGCAAAATCAACAAGTATCTATGATTCCTTGGCCATAATCTAGGGCAGGAGACACTGGGAAATACAGGTCAACAGATACATGCACACTCACAAGTTAGGAAGCAACTCTCAGATTTCTACACAACTCACTTTTTATAGTATTTAACCCTATGCCTAAATAATTTTCAGGGCAAATACAAAGCATGGATTCACCTGAATTTCTTCTTTCATTAAGTATGAGAGGCCCACTTCTTCTTCTCCCTCTCCCAGTTCTGAGCCTGCTTCATCTTCCTCCTCATCTTCATCCTCATCTTCCTCCTCTTCCTCTTCATACCCTTCAGGGAGACCAGCCTCATCTTCATCATCTTCATCTCCATCTTTTAAAATTTAAAAGATGAACAAATGGCTTGGCATATGGGCCTGGCTAGCAGGCTGACCCTTTCTGTCCTTGCTGAATCACTGGAAATTTTTATGTCAATGTGTGAAAACTACCTCAGGTGACTTTTTTTTAAGACTTCAGTTTTATAAAAGTGATATTACTTAAGAAGTATAGTTTCTTATACTGATATTTACCTTTCAATGTATACATTTTCATCAGAAAGTTGAGTTTTACTTTGTGGACACTTGAAAGCCATCATTCCAACCTTTTACACCATTGTTTCTCCATCAAGTTTAACAGTGAAAAATTTTTTACACAGTAATAAGCAATGTTCTGTTACTTACAACAGCTATCCTGTCCGCTCATCAGTTACTCTTCCATTTACCTAGAAATGCACATGCAATATCTACTTCTACCACACTTTTCATCACTTCAAAAGCAAACCCCATACCCACTAGGGACTGCTCTCCACCCTCTTCCACTCTTCCCCCGGACCCTAGCAACCACTTTCTAGCTCTGTGGATGGGCCAAATCTGAGTTTTGCCTATAAATGAAGACAAACAATAGGTAGCCCCTTTGTGGGCTTCTTTCAATTAAAATGTTTTCAACATTCACTCATGTAACATGTAGCAGTACTTCACTCACTTTTACATGGCCAGATATGTTACATTTTATGGATGTATCTATCACATTTTTTTTTTTTTGTGGTACCGGGGATTGAACTCAGGTCCTTTCTATCACATTTTTTAACCCATTCATCAATGGGCTGTTACAATAATGAATGGTTCTTTTAATTAAAAAAAAAAAAAAAGTACTATTTAGGAAGCTACTGCTATTACTGGGTGGTAGCCATACAAGTTTCTCATGAAGCATCATATTATAAAAATCATTACGTTCTCTGCAACTATTAGAAATCTAAAAGAATTAGGCTAGAACCATGCGTTTTTATGTTTTTTTGTCTTACTAGTATTCTGTATGTTTTTTCTTTCACATCCTAATCTCCAGGCCCAATGTAATTTGATGGCTACAGTGGAGGCTATAATTATGACACATCTGTGAGTACTAAGAATGATCACCTTCATCATCATCCTCTTCAGAGTCTGGGGCTTCATTATCTTCCTGATCATATCCATCTAAGTACGTGATTTGCTGCAGCAGTTCAAAAATACTTTCTCTGTAATCTTCCAGGTTTGTGATCTCACAGTTAAACAAATCCAGACTTTTTAGATTTTTAAGATTTTGCTAGAAAAGTGAAAATTTACAGTCAAGATGTTAAATACCGTGTTCTTTCTAATTCATGATCCAGAAAATATATTTGAAATCGAGAGAATTTTGGAATTTTTACAATTTTGTAACAGGATCATTCTACCAAGCATACCCAACTCTTTTAATTAGCCCCTGGCGTGTAAACTCCACAGGAATAGGAACTTTATTTTTTGTTTTTGTAGAGTGAAGTAGAAATTCACAATATAAAACACAAATAAATCTCAGAAAGTTAAAGTTTAAAAACAGCCCAGAGACCAAACTTGTCCACTTACCAGAGCTTCTACTGTGCTCAAATCTTTGATTTTGTTTCCACTCAGATTGAGGTAGGTAAGGTTGGGACACTTCTGCGCCAACACTTCCAATCCTCCAGAAATTGCATTGTCACTGAGCTCCAACTATGTATCCAGCATGGGCAGAAAGCAGAGAGCCATGAAGCTTTAGGGTAAATGCAGGACTTTAAGAGTACCAATTTGAAGAAAAAATAGTCATTCAAGAGGTCATCACTAAGACCGAGACTACAAATCATAACTTCCAGATTCCCATCTGTATCTGTCAAATAATAATTAGAATCCCTATATAATGTGCTCCTGATTCAGTTTTGGTTCCTACTGTTTTACATTTAAATTTTTATTCAGAGAAAAATATTTGATAGATGTTAAATCCAAATTTGTACCAAAAGCAATTCCAACAATAAATTTAAATTGCTAAATGCAAGATTAGAGCTGATTCCAAAATCCTGTATAACCCTCTCTCCTATCTCTAGAAACTTTAAAATTTCTAATTAACAGACAAAATAGTCCTTTCATCTAGCCAAGAACTAGACAACAGCCCATGGCTCTCAAACCATGATGCTCACATGTTAATCCACACTAACCTTCCGAAGTTTATTGAGGCTGGGAAGCTGGGCCAGTGAACTTAATGCCACGTTAGCCATACTCAGAAATTCTAGTTCTTTAAAAGTGTCATTCAGGCCCTCAATTTCCCCATTGACACACAGGCAATTATCAAGGACTAATTCTGTCACCTGTAAGAGAGAACACATTAATGATTACTTCACAATCTGTTTAGTTATAGACCTTGGTCTTGACACTATGGAAAGGCATGAATGTTTAAAAAAAAAAATACCAATCCCCAAAGCTTTCCACGGTGGCTACTGTTGTCTGCAGTCCCAGCTACTCCAAAGGCTGAGACCGGAAAACTGGGGGTCATTTGGGCCCTGGAGTTCCAGGCCAGGCTGGGCAACATAGCAAGACCACATCTCAGGAAACAAACCTTCACCTAAATCCTTTCATCCTCCCCCAAAACTGATACACACCTACCTGTCACTATAAACAAGAGCAATTTTTCAAAATTGTACTGACAGTTCAATGCCTGCTTCAAATCACTGAGGCATAAAACACACAACTTTCTCAAAGGTCCCATGGGAAATGTTTCTGACCCTGAGGAGGAGGCCCCTCAACCCGGGAGCGCAGATTTACACAGGCAGGGCACACCTGCATAACTGGGAAGATTCAAGTGAGCTACCGTAAAAGAGAGGAAGGAGAAGAAATGTTTTTATCACTCTTTCAGTTTAAACCTCCTTATCTTTGGTTGATAAATGTCATCACAACTCAAAAAAGCCTTGTTACCCTTTATGCAGAAATGTCAGAAGCTACTTCTGGGCCAGCCCAGCTTTCGGGCACTATCTGGGGCCAAACTATCACCAGAACAATACATCCTTGACAAACGTTATTTCTCCCTGACACCCTGGTGGCATTTTTGTGGACTTTTTCCCACGAAGGAGGAGGGATTCTTTACTGGGCAAGAGCTGTAGTCAATTTACAGGTGGTTGCCCGAGCGGGCTTAATCTTAAGGAGAAGGCAGGAGAGTCTAGCTCTCTATCACTAATGCCAAAATATATTTATTTAAGGGCTAAAAATTACCAACAATGAATGCCACCTTCTCTCCTTGAGTATGACTGTGATGTAATTATTTCAGTGAGCAAAGTTGGTATCATGATCTTCTTTTTATAAATGAGGCAACAGGGCCGGGGATTTAGCTCAGTGGTTCCACCGCCTGCCTTGCAAGCTAAGGACCCGAGGTCGATACCGGTACCAAAAAAAAAAAAAAAAAATGAGGCAACCAAGGTCCAAAAAGCAAGAATGACTTACCTTGGGTAATACAATTAGTATGTGGCTTAAGTCTTGCTGCTCAAAGTGTGAAGTTAGTCAGAAGGCTCCTGCACTGGGTATCAGAAAACCAGTTCAGGTGAGCATGGTGGCACACACCTGTAATCCAGCACTTAGGAGGCAGAGGCAGGAAGCTCACGATCAGCCTGGGCTACATAGTGAGTTCAAACCCAGTCTAAAAACTACACAGCGTGACTGTTTCCCCCCTCAAAAAAAAGCCAGTTTTTCCCCTTGTACAAATCACTATATTGCCGAGACTTCGTTTGTTAATTTGGATTCTAGAACAATACAATAAACCTTGCAAGTTTGTCCAAAGAAGAAAATTAAGTGTTTTCCAAAACTATACAAACATAAAAAAAACCATCATTACACCACAGGGGAGAAGTGGTAGTGGGGGGGCTTCTAAGAGACAACGTCCTGCCATCCTCCAAACTGGTGAGAAAATTACTATACCTCCTTAGGTTTAAAAGAACGGGGAGCGGGGGGGGGGGGATTCTAGTCCCTCCCCCAACACATAAAAAAACCAACCTAAATGTAGGCTTCTGAGACAGCTTTTTAAACTCTTTGTTTCGTTTCTGCCGAAGCCCTAAGAATACATAAGCGCTAGAAAAGTTCAAGTTTTTTCCTGGGATGACCCTGATAACGCTCCTTCCTCCTCCCGGCCTCTGTCAATTTCAGGGAAACAGGCCTGCCCCCCACCCCCCCCAAAAAAAGTACAAAAAAGATCCTGAGTTCTCACTCTTCGCGAAAGCCCATCCTCTTTTCTGGTACATCCGAACACCAGGCCACTTAAAAACAAATGTAGGCGCGTGTGTGTCCCCTGTACCCCAGTCCTAAGGCTTATTTCAAGGGTGCAAACGAGCACGATCTTGCCGCTGTCCTCTGCGACTCCCGTGCTCCGTGACCTGCTGCTCCCGCAGACGGGCACCTCACGGGCCGGGGGCTCTCCAGGGAAAACGGAGGTCACCGCCCAGCCCGCGCCCCCCAGAGCCTCGGCCCCGGGGCCGCCTGCGTGGAGGCGGCGGAAACGCCTAGCGCCTGACCCCCGAGAAGTTGACGGCGACCCCGCCTCACGTGGCCCCTCCCCACCCGGCCTCTTTAAATCCGCTACAGCGACACAAGCACATCCTTTAGTTTCGCCGAACCCACCTTGGAAATATTGAACAGCTACGACCCATTGGCCCAGTGTGGGGAAACCGTCTCCAAGGCTAAAATTCGAGCGCGCCGCAAGCCAAATAGCGTTCCCGGGCGGCGGGGGCTGGGGCGGACTACGCCTCCGTCCCCTCCCCACCTCGGGCACCACGACGAGTCTCGGGACTCGGCCGGGTCCGAAGGCGTCGCTGACCCAGATTCGGCTGGGCCGGGCGGCGCGAGCCGCTTCCCGGGGGAGTGGGCGCCGCCGGGGCGGGCAGCGCGGACTCGGCGGGCGACCCCATCCCAGCGCGAAGCCGGACGCCCCGGGGCCTCGAGGTGGGGGGCACCCACCCCCCGGGGAAAACCGCCGACTTGGCAGAAGCGCAGAAAAGTTGGACTAACTTCTCGGGCGGCGAGGGCTGCAGCAGGCGCGAGGGGACCGAGGGTCGCGCCCACGCCGCCGGCCCCGGGAGGACGCGCCGCGCTGAGCCGAGCCGCGAGCGCCCTCGCCGCGCGCTTCCCCCCCCCCCCCGACGAGGCCGGGGCGCCCGACTCCATGAGCGCGAAGCCCCCGCTCACACAAAAACGCCCCTAGAAACTTAAGCCCTTCGCCATTTTAAGTAGATGAGCTTAATGATTTAAAACTTGAAATTACACATTTTCCCAGCCCCACTCTAGGTGAGAATTAATTTGCTAGCCCTCCCCCACACACCCATCAGGGCCCCCCAGAAATACAACCCTCAGAATACAGGGCTAGTGGGGAAGGGGTAGGGGGCTGAGTCATCTCACCTCCTCCGGGGCTCTGTTCCTTAACTCCAGGTTAATCCTCTTCTTCATCTCCATGTCCTCCTCCTGCTCTTCTGCTACTACTCTCTTTTCTCCTTTCCTACTGTTCCCACTACCCTAACCTTAAAATTTTTGAAAATTTGGAAATGAATGAAAAGAATCGCAAATATAAACGCCAAATACCACCAGATAGGTGTGGGGGAGAAAGAAAAGAACAGCAAATGGAGCCCAAGGAGTTGGGACTCTTAACTCGTCTGCCCCCACCTCCTTGTCCACAGACCCGCGCGCGCACTCACACGCACACACGCGCACACACACACGCACACACACACACACACACCCGCAGTTCCTTCCCCTTCAATGGCTGCTCAGAGACTGAGCCTCCATGACACGGCACCGCCAACCCCCTAGCCTACTCTCCACCCACCTCCCGAACACATTGGTTGATTCTTTATCGTCACACTATTCCATTGGGTTAGGTAGGTGTCTATCAGCCTTCAGGGCGGACCTGGACTAGAAACTCTGTGCCTATTGGCTATGACCAAGCGCGCAGTTAACTCCGATAGGTCCATAAGATTGTACGTCCCGGCGAAACGATTTTGAATCCCAGTAGCCCCCTCCTTTTCTTTGTGTGGATGGCGCGCTTTCCCCAGGCAGTAGGACGGTTTTGAAGTCTATTGGACTTGTTTTTGTTTGGGGGGTTTTGTTTGTTTTCCTGGTTTAGTGTTAAAGGGAGAGAGAAGGCATCCTTACATGTCCAAGTTGCTTACTGGTAACTCAGCGCCCGGCACACACCAGGTCTTGGCCTCTGCTTTGCAACCAAGGTGTACACCAGCGTGCACATCACATTACACGCGTGCCTCCGTGGCACTGCCCTGCTGGGGACCGCAACATCACACAGACTCGCCTTCCGCGGCGCAGAAACAGAGCCGGGGTGAAAATGGTGTTTTAACTTCCACCACGAGAGACAAGGAAAGATGTTTGTAAACAGTTGGGTGAAGCATATAAATTGGGGACCTTTAAATAAAACTATCCCGGAGGAACTGTACTGAGGAATTGTGGCTGATAGTGAATGCTGAGACCTTCGGGGTAAAACAACGCTATCCTACTGAAAATCAGACATTAATTCACGTAGAAACGGTACAGAGATGCTTCTCCTTTCTAATTTCTTTGGTTAGTTTCCATAGAAATTTTATATGCAGTGCGCTTTTTTTTTTTTTTAACGGTGGCAAAGTTTCACGTTTATTAAAGGTAGGAAATAAACAGAGGGGTAAGGGGGAAACGGGCTCTCCAGAGCGAGTTTGGGCCGAGTAAAAAGGGAGGAAAAACTAAAATACACCCTATCGTGAAGACGATAGCCCAGTGCGCTTTAAAAAGCCTATGTAGGAATTTTTTTCCAAGAACTTAAAAAATGGTTTTTGCTTTTTATTATGGAAATTTTGAGACATGAAACTAGAGAATATACTACAGTGACTCCCCGTGTCCATCACCCACCTACAACAATCATGAAATCATAGCTATACTTGTTTTAACAATTATTGTGAAACAAATACTAAAGAATCATTTTAATTAAAAAAGTCTATGTAGGACATAAAAGGGGATAAGAATAATTTTTAAGTATTTGTTTTGAAGGTTTAACTTTCCTTATATTTCTTGCTAATTTCTGCCCACATTCTTTAAACCATTCCCAGAAAGAATACTCAAAGAAATTCCAGATGATTTGGAAAAGAAAGTAGGTGCACTGATCCCTGCTTCCCCGAATCTAGTGTTGTTTTTCTAGTTTCTCAAATTAGAGACCTTGGTTTTTTCAACAGGGACTCCTTGCCCCTCCATTCCTACTCCCCACACGGAGAAACAAATAGGTTTACACTTAATATAAGTCAAAAAACAGCCAGGCATGGTGGTGCACACCTGTAATCCCAGCACTCGGGAGGCTGAGGCAGGAAGATCACCAGGAGTTCGAGGCCACCCTGGGCTACATAGGGAGACCCCACCCCATCTCACAAACACACACACACACACACACACACACACAAAACAACACATCTGGGAAGCATTTGAAGATTTAGTTTTGTTTGTTTTAATGTAAACAATGGTAATGGAAGCTAGGATGTTCTGCAAATTGAGCCACAATAGGGTGAGAAACAAAGTAAGAATTTAAAATGCAAGGGAATTTTTTTTTTTAAAAGGAAGAAGAGGAGAAGTAGGAGGAGAAGAAAGAAGTGCCAGGTAGAGGAGGAGGGGAAAAAGAGGAAGAAGGAGAAAAAAGTAGAAGAGAAGAAGGAGCGTATTTTAGTACCAGCCTGGGAATAAGTCCTGAATTCTGATCCTACAATGTGCCACTTCGGGGTCTGGAATGAAATCCAAAAGAGTTAGGGGAAGGAGATTCCCTGATTGATTTAGGAATCACCCACATGCAAGTGATGGCGGGGACCATGAGAAAAATAAGATGTCCACAGGAGACCTATATCGTAAGTCTGTCAGTCAAAGGAGAGCAAAACACAGCTGAGGGGGAAAGAGAGAAGGAGGAATTGCCTTCCAGAGTACTCAAGGAAACTGACTAGAGGTAGAGAAGAAAAAACAAAGAAGAGATAAGAGATAATTACTGAGGCTGAATAATAGGTTTTAAAGAATGGACTGGGATGTAGCTCAATGGTAGCCCCTCTTCAATTCCCAGGACCGGAAAAAAAGAAAGGAAGGAAGGAAGGAAAGAAGGAGTTAGGCTGGGCATAGTGGCCCAGGCTTGTAATCCCAGCAAACCTGAACTACCTAGTGAGACCCTGTCTCAAAATACCAAAAAAAAAAAAGAAGAGGAGTTAATTATCTTTGTTAAATGGTAGAGCTTTTAGCCGGGAGTGGTGACTCACACCTGTAATCCTACCACTCTGGAGGCTGAGGCAGGAAGATCACTACAAGTTCAAAGCCAGTCTGAACTACATAGCTAGATCCTGACTCAAAAAAACCACAAAAACAAAATAAATAATAAAATAAATTCAGCCCCAAGGCTAAAAGTGTGGTAACTCAGGATAAATATACAAGGGAGAAGTCCTACAGGGATGAATACACCCCTAGCTGCTGGGATTGCAGCTGGCAGATGATCCTACTAGCAGACAGCCTTACAGGTGACTCCCTTGGCTGAAGAAATTGCCTTGTTCAAGGTTACACCTCCCTCTGGGAGCCCCCCCACATCCAATGATTAATCAACACAGACATACAAAAGTCCAGCCTACTATTTTGCCTAGACTAGGGGTGGTGAACCTATGGCACACATGCCACATCCTGCTATTTATCACTGAAACATCTAGAAGGTTTACCATCACTGGCCTAGACTTGCGCAAACTCCAAAGGGTCATCCCAACTCCAGAGCACACTGGATCGACCGAGGCCTTGTTACGACTGCACTCCCACTCTCCCTGTTTAAGCCTGCTTTTTTCTCCTCCTTTCCATAGGTATTGGTATCACTCAATAATAAATATCCTGAATGTTATTTCCACCTCTCTGAAGACCTCAACATGTGGCAGTGGCTCTCCCCAAATACTAAAGCTCTGAGAAAACCAGGGCTGGGAATTTAGCTCACTGGTGCCTTGCCTGCTTCACAAGCATGAAGTCCTGTGTTAGGTCCTGGGTACCAAAACAAAAAGACAAAAAAAAACAATAGGAGAGGGCACACGGAGAGGCCTTGAGACTCCTTCATGACACTGAGAGGTGCCCAGCCAGGACCAAGCTTCTCTAGCTCTCATCTTTTCTAACTCCAGCCACATCTGACCATGACTACATGAGAGATCCTGAATAAGAACCACCCAGCTGAGCCCATCCTAAATTCCTGTGCCACAGAAACCATGAGAGATTTTAAAAAATTATCATTATTGCTGTAAGTATCCGAGTTTGGAACTGTTATGAAAGCAATAATACTTAGAACAACACCCTAGCACACATTTGTTTCTGATGAAGTCTCATTAGCGCCCTGTTGTTCTGTGATATGAAAGGCTGTAGTCACTGTACTATTTTTGGTTTTGTGCATGCTATACTCCTAACTTCAAATGGTATTACTTTCTCTGAATTCTCAGCAATTATTAAATGTGCTACTCATTCAGC